CCACTTAACGCAGGTGAAGGAGGACTTTTAATTGGTAAAAGTTCATTTTAATTTGGTGTTAGGTTTCATTTCATTGTGTAGAATAGGCCCAACTACGATTCCTATCCTTACAAGGAGAGTGTAAGTCCTTCGGGTCAACGACTTAGTTGGAACTTTACAGGCTTGTAGATATCGTCATGCAGTTTAAGCAAATATATCATTATAGTTGCAACTACTCAATAGTTTTTGAAATATTTACAATTAAAGTTTTATTATTCCTATAATTATAGCTTTATTTCCAATATTCTTCAATTGAAATTGTAGCCTGTTGTAATAGTCCAAAATTTGTTGTGCTGAAGGACCTGGGTTCGATTCTTGTTGATCGTTAATATTTTTATTTAATTTATTTCTTATTTTGTATTCATTTTTCGTCTATGAAAACATTGTAAATAAACAATTGTAAATAAAATTTCTTAATAAAATAATTTATTTTTTACGCTTCCTTATGCTGGTATATATTTATTACAAAATAAGAATATTATGCCAGAAGAACACTTTTCTATAGCAATCTTATTTATTACAGGAAATATAAAATCTATCGCTCATGTAAGTATTAATTATTAAATTAAACATTGTATAAGAATGTTGCCAATAATTCCAACTTTGCTGTACAGCTATAAATGTTGATGAATTAATTACAAAAAATGGGAAATTTATTAATTTTCTACTGCCGAATTGATTTTATTAAGGGGTATTATTAGCGCATAACCAATAGAGGTATCTAGTTTGAATAAAAATTTTACGGCCTGCGATCAGCGCCATCTATGATTTGGGCTCAAAAATCAAGAAAGTGATAGGAATATAGAATAGGCGAGGAGGTCGTCGAAGAGCTCGTCACGTGACAGACTAGGACAGAGAGGGGATAGAAAAGGATAGAATGGCTCCGGCAGTGAAAAATTATTAATTACTCCATTTCTGTAATTAATTTATGAACTTTTATAATTTCATTGCAAAGCTGGAACTTCAGGCTACATTCTTATATAATATTCGTAAAGAATTTAACTCTAAATTGTTAGTTATTAATTTTTGTTTGATGGCGTCTATGATTTCGTAACGACGGCCATCACGATCTTGCGTGAAAATATATAATACTAAACAAAACTAGAAGCAAAATGTGATCAAAAGTTATATGGGAAGATTCGCAAGAACATTGTCTTTCTAATGAGTGCATAAAGTTTCATAAATTAATTGCGTAAAGGATAGTAATTAATGAAAAACCAATGGCGTCTTCGACAATCTTCGACAATAATTCAAACATTTCGTAGAATAATTA